ACAGGACATATGAGATTCTACTTAATGGAGGAACTCCGTCTGATACTGGTGTGGACTTGGACCCCTCCATGAGTTTAAAAGGTAACCAATCACTCTCTTGTCAATAGACCTTTTTCGACTGGGCGGTTGCCCCATTTCAGACCATGTGATGATACTCTTGAGAGTTCTTCCTTTCAAATTTTCAAATAGTCGCGTGCGTATGGATAAATAATTTTTAGATGGATAAAAGAATAATTCTCTGGAGAATATCACGTGGTCTGTAATGGCAAAACAAACCGCCCAAGCGAAAAAGGTCTTTTCTTTAGGTGAACGTAAACTGGATCCTGTTGTACTAAATTTCACTTGAACAGGAACACCAAATAAAAAGGATGAAAAACTGAGGACGAGGCTTCTACTAACAGTTTGTTATATGAAAGAATAAGAGCTGAGAGTTCTTATTTCACTCTAAACTAAATATTAATCAACATTAGGTCCAGTCACAACAGTCCAAACGTACACTTCGAAATGCCTGCAAAAGGACAGCCATAGAAATTATATATATTTGCTTGGGTTTGAATTTCACAGTATTTGTATGATTTCTCGTGCTTGCGAACGTGCTTTGGTCGCTAAAGAAATGGACTTGTTACATAAATGGGAACAAGTCTTGTTTTGCAAGTTCCCTCGACCAGAACGGAACTTGGGAAAAAAAACCCGATAAATTCTTGTGTTAGTCTTATTTCTTTTTTGTTTTTGTTTTGACTTGTTTTATTTTTTCCTTCATGTTCTGTCATTGTTTCTGTTTGTCGTTTTTTCTTCTTAGCAAGCAGCAGCCGTTTCCTTCAAGTTGTTCCTTCTAATCGCCAGCCACGGCTGACGGTGAAGCTGATTTCACACCAAAAAAGAGAAATATATGAGTAGGTCCCATCATTTTGTATGTATCCGTTTCTCTTGTTGTTAAACTAACATCATTTGATGCGATTGAGATTTAATTATGATGAGATCCGTACATGTCTTTTCAATAAAATAAA